ACCTCATTCAAATTGTAAGACATATAAGCAAGGAGAATGACTGTATTAGAAAATAACCAGGGCTCAGTAATGCACAATAATCAATACAGCTGTAATCAGGTAAGATAAAGTTATGAAAGGTAACTAAAGGGAACTAAAGGCATGAGAAGTAACTAAAGCTGATAAAGTAACTAGAGTCTATAAGACTCAAATCTTACAATCTGACATTTATTACAAGTACCGTTATCGCCAAAGGAGGCAGAGGAATAACTGAACATGCGACACTCCGAGCAAGAGAAAGGAGGAGAGGAACAGGGGGAAGCCATTGCTCTAAATTAAGCTACAATCTTAGCTGGCTTCTAAGCTAGCCAACCAAAAGTAGCAGATTAAATCTGGTAATTAGCAAGAGCTTTTGCAACACCAGTGCTTAAGTGGTGCAAGCGTATTTTGTTACTCAAAAATTCAGATGAACTTAGAAACTGTAAGTTTAATTCCTAAACAATCTGGGAGCAAGCACAAACACGGTTCAGGCGCCAAAAACAGGAAATGAGTACAGTTACCGCAGAAGCAGGAAACAGCAGTCCGTCAAAGGTTTTCAAGTGTAAGTCCGTGTGTGTGTGTGTCCTTGCATGGGACAGGGATTCAGTGAGTCTCTGTACCTCAGATGCAAATTTCAGCTCAATAATTGTATTTCCATTAAAGTGCTAGCATCAATTCATTCAGCACACATCTACTTTAGCCACCACATGTTGCCCTCCAAACTTCTATTTAAAAAAAAGAAAAAGAAAACTAGCTAGGGTTGCTACTCTTCAAGGCTAACCGGGAAAGTCATTATGCTAACGTTAGCTGTATCACTGTGATATTTAATGAATATGGTTTGGTCCAATATGCTAGACTTTGTGCCGGGATGTCTTGAGGTGTCACAGATGCAGCATCGGTTGCTGTTTACTATGACACTTGAGATAAAACAATAGATTGATGTTTCTGGCACCATTTGTTAGTTCTGATGCCCTACCATCATATCAGGCTTTTATTGGGCTTAAATCATGAACTGGGTATTAGAGACTTACCATTCAGGAAAGCTGAAAAGACACACACTTCAGTCACACATGCACAGAGACACCGTGACTACTGACTTGCATTTGCATTTAACATAATCACAGCTCTCCTTCCTACTCTCATTCTGTCTGTCTGTCGACCATCTCACTGTCTTTAAAAACACTACTAGTGGTATTTAAACATAATGGTCACCATTGTGTGGTGTACATCACATATACCCAGGCTATAAACCACTCTGTGACTGGAAGAGAACAGTGAAACAACGCATTGTCCCACACAGTTATAAAACATTCTGGATTCATCCTCACCTACCCCCTTCCCTCACCTGGTAAAAGTCTTTCACAGAGGTCATCAAGGAATTCCAATAGGTGCTTAGTGATGGGTGCCCCAGTGAAGAGTTACACATTTGTTAAATTTTATTTTATTTCATTTTTTTATTTAATACTGAATTATTTATATAAGTGCATGACAGTGATATACACATTTAATAAGGATCCCTTTTTTGATTTTTGAAGAGTTGTGAGCAACATACTATGTGTGGGACATTTTACTGTGGGAAAAAGTGTTAAAACGCGACACACAATAGTAAATCTACTACAAAATTTAAACGCCAAGCCTTTATGAAATTAGCAAAGACATATAAGTAGCAATGCAAATGAAACAACAAATCTGAGAGTATAAATTCATTCACGATTCATATTTGAGCTGTTATTCTTGAAACCTGAGCAAATTCAATTCACAAAAGAAGGCTGTGAGATACAGCTTGTTAGAATCTAACCTCTTTGTCAGAAATTAACCCAATTCTTTTGTTGGAAGCACGAGAAGTGACGACAGGAGAGGACTGTTTAAAATCAACGGAGAGTTTACTGCATGTTTGATCACAGGTAGGCCTTACAGTGCTGGGATCAGAGAGATAGCGCTCCCGCAGGAGTTCCATCCACTGACCCCCGAGTCATGATTTCACAATACATTTATGCATTTTGGGCTGGGTCCGCCCCAAACAAAGATCTCGCGAAACCAGGTGTGTAAGTGTTGTCATGTGACTTTCTAGGCGGCAACCAAACAATGGGTTTTCTGTGCCGCAGACCCCCCATCTGTGTAATCCCATTACATAACAAAGCAGGACCTTCTGCGTGCAGACACTGAGTGTACACAGAAGTTAAAGTGATCAGTTTATACTTCAGTATCACCTGACTCCCATCAGCACAAATGGAATTAAATGTATTAAAGTAATGAAGGCTCAGTAATTCTGGTCAATCATCAGTACAGTTTTACCATGTGTAAGCAAGGAAGGTAAACATATGAAAAGTACCTGAAAGACAATGATGAACAGAAAAGTAACTAAAGATTATAAAGTAACTAGGGCCTATAAGAATCAAGTCTTGCACTATTCTCCATTTAATGTAAACCGGAGCCTCTTTGTCTAGGTGTGTGTGTGTGTGTGTGTGTGTGTGTGTGTGTGTGTGTGTGTGTGTGTGAGACAATAAGCTGACGTATCACCTCATTCAAATTGTAAGACATATAAGCAAGGAGAATGACTGTGTTAGAAAATAACCAGGCCTCAGTAATGCACAATAATCAATACAGCTGTAATCAGGTAAGATAAAGTTATGAAAGGTAACTAAAGGCATGAGAGGTAACTAAAACTGATAAAGTAACTAGAGTCTATAAGACTCAAATCTTACAAGCTGAAAATAAACATAAAATGAAATAGTGTGAGGTGTGGTTAAACCATGAATATGAAATCGATGTCTTCAACAATGACCAGTGCTCCATCTGATGCAATTGCAGGAAACCTTTTTCCAACTAGTGTTCATGTCAACAGTCTGTACTCCAATCAAAAACAGAACTGTTTTTACATACTGTACCTCCGGTTTTTACCTTGATGTCCCACTTTAAAGCCAAGCTTTGTTTTCAGTTCAGAGTTAGCTGCAGAGACTTAATCACTTGAAATAGGTTAGTTACAGTGAATATAAAGCCGTATGCACTGTTTAACAGTTGAGTTAGCATCACAAGTTGCAAAAATGTCAAGTTACATTTCATTGACTGATGGCAAGGCTGTCTCATTCTCTGATGTGAGAGATTTCCTGAGCTTTGAAAGGCTTTATTCCATTATAAAGCCTCGTCCGGTTCTTTCAAACCAGGAACTCCGAGGGACGACTCAGACCACTTGAGTATATAAAAAATATAACCGTGCTGGTTTATTCAAAGAGTCACAGGCAAGAATTCACACTTCCAGTCCAGAGATCTTCCAACCCCCAGCCTGCCAAAAGCAGCCCGGAAGCAGAAAGACCCCGAACCAAGCATTGCTATACAATATTAATCCTTTCTGGGCTGTCGAACCGTGACGTCACCCGATAAGCAAGCCTTGCAGCTGCTATAACGTTTAGCCAAAACATGAGGAAAAGTCAAGGTGCGTGACTGTTGTTTTCGTGGTGTGTATCTAAAACAATTGGACATAACCTTACACATTAAGACAAATATTAAGACTAGCATTACAGTTGACACTAACAGCAGTTTTCCTGTAACCTTGACGTGCCTGCAGTCTGCACTGCAGGCTGAATAGCTAACAGCCTAAGCTAGTCACCCTGTCTGCACTAAACATTCCTAGACAACAAATCTCTGAATATCTATCTAACTAAAAAATAACCTAACAGCTTCTAACTCACTTTATAACTTCCTCCTCAGAGCCCATGGGCCAGATGCCATGATCCTGGTGGATGGGCTACCTCTGCAGACCAATGGGGAGCTGGGTCTGTCCCAGATGCTTCACATAGCGAGTCAGATTGCAGCTGGGATGATCTACTTGGCGTCACAGCACTTTGTGCACCGTGATCTGGCGACCCGGAACTGTCTGGTGGGAAATGGGCTTCTGGTGAAAATAGGAGACTTTGGCATGTCCAGAGACATTTACAGCACAGACTATTACAGGGTAAGAACATGTCTGCTTGTTCCATGCACTGCACATAAATGAACACATTTACACTGGTGGTGGGCAGAGATGTAACTGTGGAGGCTCTTCAGTCTCAAAATAATAACACACTGAAAACTGGACATGGCAAAAATTACTTCAATGTATGGTTTTTAATCTCCACAGTCTGGATATAAAGGTGCACTGTAATAACTGAACTTTGCCAGCTACTAGGAGATTATATATGTGTATATTATGCCATCCCTGGTAGGCGCAGCACTCTCTTTGGTACAGTGCCGGGTTTGAATTAGGGTTGCGTCAGGAAGAGCATCCGGCATAAAACACGTGCCAAATGTCAACATGCAAGTCGTCAGTGTGATGATTTGCTGTGGTGACCCCTAAATGGGAAAAGCCGAAAGTGACTTTCATATATATATGTGTGTGTGTGTGTGTGTGTGTGTGTGTGTGTGTGTATACAAACAACCTACAATTTCTAAGCAGATAAGACTATTTAATAAAAAATGGAATTTGGGCCATGAAACCTGCAAAGAGCACCCCAAGAGGTCAATGGGGCTACAGTAGCTCACTGCAGGCAAACTTTATGGTACCATCTGCTGCGTAAGACTGCTCATACCTAGGGATGAATTAAAGTGGAATTAATCTGATGGAGCAGAGTCCTTTTTTTCTAAAGTTGGAGTTTACTGTTAGAGCAGCTGATAACAGCACAACCCAGTAAATTTAGGTGATTTGTAAATGAAAAAACACCAGCTGTCTTAAACAAAATTTGATCCAGTTTTAATAGTTTCCACTGTTAAACTAACATTTGGCATGTTGATGGCTATATAGGTGAAGCCCTGCATTGCAGCATTTTTGAGTATGAGTGAGATCTTACTGCAGTAATAGAGTTTTGTTAACTTTTGCCTTGTTTGATTAGTTTATAGGGCTCAGATAAATCAAATAACTGAATCAGAAACCACAAATGGATGGTTAACTGCGCATCCTTAAAAATGTTTGTAAAGTGTATTTTCTGGTTTATGTCTATGATTAAAGTAATGTTTATGAAGCAGCATGACATACATACTGTATATGAGATGCTTCTTTCATTTCCCAGGATTTGCACCTTTGATTAGGGAGATGTTCACTGTCAAATTCCATGCCATGGCAGCTAGTTTATTTAGCCTGCAGCTGTTTGTTTTAAGGCTCTGTAATGTTGTAATGAGTCCCAAATCCTCTATGAGATGTTAATTTTCTCATGTAGGTCTCACATAGAAAAAAATGAAAAAGTCTGGCATTATGTTTCTTGCCTGTCTAAAAAAGGTTAGTCGTCATAAACGATGGCAACAGCGGCTCAGAGGGATTTTCAAAGGACTCTCTCACCACTGTAATTGGTGTCATGGGAAAAAAATTGTATTTAGCAGTAAATGTCAATGACTCCATTGAGTCCCATGCTCCTAAGTAGCTTCTGTGGAGTGTTTACTTTTTAATGGCTGCTCCAGTGTCTCAGCAGGGTTACTAGTAGACGGTAGCAGAAAGGGCTGACTGATTCTCTTTTAATTTGAACACTTAACAGCAGTGAACTGGTTCAGTGGTTCAGTTTTGCAGACAGTGTTTTACATTATGCTGCACTACACTAAGGTACTGGTTAGTGCACATAAGCAATATAAACAAGGGACAAATAATGTTGAGTTGCTCAGATTAGATTTCTTGTATATTCATTGTCAGTGTTCACTTAGTCTGAAAGACAGAATGCACCAAGAAAGAACAATACACACACAAGCCACAGACCAGGTGCAGGCAGATAATCTTTTCATATCATCACCATTAAAGCTAAAGTATTTTGTGTAAATGCCGTATGAATATGGACCTGAGCAGAGAGTGCTGCCTGTTGGGAATCTAGTGGTTAATGAAAAGGAACATCAAAACTTAAAGGTTTGGCTGATGTCAGATGAAAACTGCAAGTGTCTTAAACTCAAAAATCTAGTCATATTTTATTATTCAGAACAAACCTTATGAAAAGAAGACAACCAGTAATGTGTCTTTCTATCTCTCAATACTTCCTGTATACTTTGTCTCTGGCACTCAGCTCTGAGTCCATTGCATCCATCCATCCATTAGCTGTACCGGTTCATATAAATGTTATTTTGTTAAAAAATTAAAATAAAGACATTGAGTAATTTCCTAAGCCAGTTGGTAACAATTTTTATCAGACTTTACTCAAACAGGAGAAAATAGTGCACTTGCTGTTGAGTATTTTCAGCTGCAAATTAATTCACATAGTGAGTATTTGTGGCAGCAGGACAGTGTGTGTGTGTGTGTGTTCATGACAATAAGGGAACATGCTGCCCAGTGCAACGGTTTCATTTATGGACAACAATGAAGCTCTGTGACACAGAGGGATAAGATACAGTATATCAGGTTTTGATACACACACGCCATTTACTGTTGATACATGGGATATGTTAACTGTATGACTGTATATAGAGGAACTGTACATGAACCAGAGTTTCAACACCACTCACTCTCAGAAAAGAGATTTAAAATTCCCAAAAAACATTCTGCAGAGACAGATTTTATTCACCTCACAGGAGAGGAGAATCTAATTTTTTTTGTTTTCACATCATGCCACCTTTTTAATACAGTGCCAGACGTGTTTTATTTTCAGTGGCTTTTCCTTTGTCATTGGATCTCTCTGTAACAAACTTAGCTATTCATGTAAAGTCTGCTGCTGCCTGTGTTTAAATGATGAACACATATGAGTGGGTGGAGCTGTGAAACCAAGCCAACTGTAATTCTCCGTTGAAAGATATTTTCCCAGTTCTCTTAACCAGGGACTCAGAGAGACAAGGCGGTCCAAGTGGATACAAAAAACCATGCTGGTTTATTCAAAGGATCACAGGTAAAATTAACATTACACGTCCGGGTATCTTCCACCTCCAATACTGCGCGCAGGCAGATGAAGAATGAAAAGACCCCG